GGCCTCGGGCTCGGCCTACGGGCTGGAGGTGGTGTTGAGAGTTGGTTCCCATTCCTCCGGTCCTGGGTCTCGATCGCCCGCCGTTCTGGGGTTTCCCAGGGTCCTATCCCGGTTCACTCTCACCTCCTCCAGGTAGTTGAAGCGAGGGGGAGGCTAAATCTAATGAGCACTCGGTCCCCACCCTCCGACCTGTCTAACCCTAGTTGACCTGAGAGATGGCACAAGGTCAAACAGATCTTCCTGTCGTGAAATACATCACTTTAAGCGTTCTGTAAATTTCTTTTGACGTCAGGACTTTTGGTCATGTGACCAGATGACCACCCTTGAACTCTACTTTTCTGAGCAGTGAAAATGTGTGTTACCTGTCCTAGATTTTAGGTTATGAGTCATGTAATTTCTGAGTTGTATTTTTAAATGCTATTGAAACAAAATCTATACTCGCCAGTAGCCGAGCTCTGTTCCCACGAAGAAGTAGGCTGTTAAAAGCATTCACGTATCATCTGTTGGCTTATGAAGGGATTCGAATTGTCATCTTTGAACTTGCATGTAAAAGCTCCCAGTGAAGGAGCTATGTGGAGTTTTCAGGTTTTAAGGAGTGGAGCGGATGTGACAGGTTCAACCTTGTGGGAAAACGAGGTCTCCTTTGAGAGCCCCCTCTAGTTAGAGTTTATGAATATTCACTTTCTCTGCAGACAAAGGCGATTTCTTGCTAGGTGGTAACACTTTATTACTGTATGTTCAATAAGAGGGCTAAGAATGTCTGAAGTGGGAAAAAGACAAAGGCAGCTGGCGCATGTCTGTTGATTGGCCTTGCTGACCCAGACTTGACATATTCAGCATTGGGACAGAATTGCTCATCATCAGGTTGTGGTAGGGCATTGATAACTCTCTTTTTCTGGTTGCACTTTCAGACCACAGGAGGGAATCCTATGATTTGTTAGTTTAAAAAGAGACGCTAATCTCCGGAATTTTGATGTTGTTGGTATTGCAATAGGAGTATGTCATTTTTGTATTGAAAATAAAGTTGTTTTCATACAATATATTCTGATCACAGTTTCCCCTCACCTCCCAGATCCTCCCCACCCAACTCCATGCCTTCTTTTTCTCTCTCTAAGAAAACAGGCAAATAAAGAGACAAATGAGAATGATACAGAATGAATAAACGAGAAAAAAAGAAAAAAAAGCCAAGAACATGAGAAATACATATACACACAGAGACACATACAAACCCCATAAAAATTCAAAATTGGAAACCATAATATATAAGCAAAAGACCAGTATGGTTAAAAAATTGCCTAAACAAAGCAGTATGAGACAAAATCTCCAAGAAGACCTTTGTGCTTATTTTGTGTTGGTCATCAGTGGACATGGGGCCTGCCTTTCGCTGGTTTGTATGCCCAGTGAGACCCCCCTGGAGAGCTAAGTTTTCCTTCGGAGCAGTTGTCAGTTGGAGATAGCTTCTTGGCTGGAGCTGGACCCTGTGCAGCACTGCAGGATTTGTGCAGGCCCTGTGCATGATGCCGCAGCCTCTGAGTTCTTATGTGTGTCGGTCCTAGCGGGTGTTTTGACCGAATTCTTTCTTTTGAATTTTGCTTTGTTATGTCTGAAGTTTATCTCTGTTCTTTTAATTCCTTTGCTTTGTGTGGTTCTCTGCTTTTTTTTGGATTACATAGTATGTTAAATAGTGTCCACTCCATTTTTACTTGCTGTTCTGTTTTTTTCCAGTGTGTCCAGCAGCCCAGGTTGACCTTGAACTTGCTATGTAGTCTAAAACGTATCTTGCCTCTACTGACCAAGTGATGAGATTGTAAGCATGTGTTCACCCATTTTACTGTTTCTACCTTTTACTGAGGAAGGGGCATGTACCCGGGATCAAAGATTGTATTTTTATTTTTAATGAAATACTATGGCAGAGGACTTAGAAATTGTCATGTCCTCCGCGAACCTTTGTTCTTTTAAACAAATTGCCTGCTTTCTGAAACAAAATAACTGCTTCTTTATCCTTATTAAGGACATGTGCCTTAAAGTTCTCTATTATTAAATGGTCACATCTTGACTTTATATTTTCAATCAGCCACTTGAACTTTACAATAAAACATTTTAAATTGTTGTCTTGTGGTCATTACCTGTCATGGCTTCACTTCTATAGAAAGAGTAATTGAGTCCAGGGAGCTGAAACCAGGAAGAACTAGAGAAGAGGAGAAAACCAAGAGCTTGCTGTATGGAGCTTTGCTACTTTGCGGAGTTTGCTGAAAAATTATGCTCAGTTCGTCGCTGCCGAATGATAGGACCGTTTCCATGCGTTCACCTCGCCAATAGAGTCAAGTGTAGAAACTCTTCCTTTCTACAGGGGCGCAGTATAAGGCGATGGCATGGCTAGAATGAGCGAGACTGTTCAGTTACATGCAACATTACTTTTCTCCTTGTCTTGACAAACGCCCGACAGAAGCACATCACAGAGGAGAGGGCATGCTCTGCTGCACGGTTTGCAGGTACAGCCTGTCGTGGGGAAGTCATGGCAGCAGCAGCCTGAGCACATTGTGTCTACAGTCCCTAAGGAGTACACACGCTTAACGCACTTCTCCATTTTATCCTCAGGATACTAGCCCCAGTTCTGGTTCCTCCCTAAACCTTTCCGGAAACACCCTGTTACACACACCCAAAAGTGTTTCCATGGTGATTCCAGATTCTGTAAGGTTGACCATGAAAATTAACCCTCACCTTTGCTAAGGACATAGAGTGGTGTGTTGGGAACTGCGTACCTGCCAGTTATAGAGAAAACCTTTTTGTAGTCTCCCTCTGATTTTTCTATTCATGTGTGACATCATTTGTCATTAGAATAAAGAAAAATTTATACCCACTTGCTATGTTTTGATTTTTGGTTACCAAAAGATATATGGCCAACTGGTTGCCCATCTTTGTTTTTTGTTTTTTCTTTTTCTTCATCTTTATGCTTTACTAGGGAATTAATTAAGCAAGAAGGAATAGAGAATGGAAATGCATGCAGAAAATTTAAGACAGTGCTTCTCAAATTTTTAGGCTTAAGAACCTTTCATACTCTTACAAATTGTTGAGGATACTCCTTAACTTTTATTTGTGTTTTCTATAAACATTTACCTTACTTCTAAACAAAGTTGTAAGCTTCATATAAATTAGCTTAAAATAATAAACATGGTAACAAAATTTAATATGAAAAATAGTTATATTTTCAAAAACAAACCTTGAGAAAGCAGGATTATTTTCTAGTTTTGCAAGTATCTGATGTCTGGCTTGCTTGAAGACAACTGTATTATATTTATTTCTTCATTCAACTTACTGAGAAGTTAAAATGTTTTTAAATTTCCTGAAGGTTGGTTTTAATGTGGTATTTGAAACCATATCACTGAACTTTTTTGTATTATTAATCTTTATTGAATTAAAATCTTTTTGTTTTGCACTGTGAATGAATCTAAGGATGATTTTTGTGACATTATGCCTTGACAATTGGAAAATACTGGTTTACTGAATTAGATATATCTTTCAAATGTTGGCACCCTTTACTGTATAACTTTCATGTGTATTAATATTGCCATTGATCTTAGAAAAGAAACAGTCTGAGAACTAGGCAGATGCAAATGATCCAAAATTCAAATCTTTTAGTTAAGAGCAGACATTTATGATTGGTGACAGGTATTGTTAATTTCCTTGAGGTAAAAGTTCATTTTCATTCAGTCTGAGAAAAAGGCTGCCAAATAACCAAGGCTGAGTGATCATCTGTTGGCAATTTTGCAATAAAAATCATGTTTTATAATAAAAGCAGCTAGTTCAACTTACAGTTCAGTTGCACATTTCTTTTTAGGACAACCAGCATCCTTCATTATATGATAGAAATTATGTATACTGAAATTTAATACATTTAATGACTTATTAAATGTATTTTTGGGGAGTGTGGTATATGCTGTTGCTGGGCTGGGGATTGAACCTTGGGTCTTGTATGAAGTAGACAAGTACTTACCACTGAGCAGTGTTTTTGGCCCTATTAACAACACTCTTCACTGAGACTCTAGTGGGGCGTAAAGTGGGGAAGGACCAGGGAAGAATGCAGGGAGCCTATTATAGTTTGCTTCTGCTTTGATTCTTGCGAAAACTCACAACATTGAGAGAGATAATGTTTGTATATTATAATGAAAATAATTTTACCTTTTGAATATCCTGACTTGAAGGGTCCTTGGGCTCTCTTTTGGGAGTTGTTGGCACTCTAGTCTAGGACTTCCTGTATCGGGCCCATTGATCCTGAGACTATTCCATCTTCAGTGATAGACCGCTCACATTTTGAAGTTTGTTGTGTCTTGTTTTCCTTCTGGTGAAGCACGCTGTTTGGAAACTTCCTGAAGAAGGGTGAACATGACATCTAGTTTTAATGACTTAAATTTCTAAAAATGTCTTTTTGTAATCTCACCAGACCACTGATTTGGTAAGATAGATGGAAAGAGATTTGAGATTGGAATTAGTTTTTTGGAAATTTGATGGTGAATTTCCTTTGTTCT